TTTCATTTAAAAAATTGAGATGGGGCAGTAGAGCGTGCGACTCTCGATCTCGGGGTTGTGGGTTCGGGCCCCACGTTGGGTATAGAGATTACTTAAAAAAATAAAAATCTCGGGGCGCCTGGGTGGCGCAGTCGGTTAAGCGTCCGACTTCAGCCAGGTCACGATCTCGCGGTCCGTGAGTTCGAGCCCCGCGTCAGGCTCTGGGCTGATGGCTCGGAGCCTGGAGCCTGTTTCCGATTCTGTGTCTCCCTCTCTCTCTGCCCCTCCCCCGTTCATGCTCTGTCTCTCTCTATCCCAAAAATAAATAAACGTTGGGAAAAAAAAATAAAAATCTTAAAAAAAAATGAGGTATAATTTACATACCATAAAACTCATCTGTTCAAAGTGTATAATTCAGTGGTTTTTGGTATGTTCCGAGCTGTGAACCCGTCACCAGAACCTAAATTTAGGGCATCCCCCCTCAGCCCTATACCCAGAGAGAAACCCTATACCCACCGGCAGCCACTCCCCATTCCTCTCCACATCCTAGAAACCTACTGGTCTACTATATTTTCCCATTCCGGACTCTCATGCAAATCAAACCACACAGCCTGTGGTCTTTTGTACCTGGCTCCTTGCACTTAGCATGACGTTTTCGAAGTTCCTCCATGTTGTAGCATCTATTAGGACCTCATTCCTTTTTCTGGCTGAGTACTACTCCACCGTACGGGTGAACCACATTTCATTTGTCCATCCATCCATCGATGAACATTTGGTTTGCTTCCACTTTTTGGCTATTATGAATAACGCTGCTTGGGGCGCCTGTGTGGCTCAGTCAAGTAAGCCTCTACCTTCAGCTCAAGTCATGATCTCGCAATTCGTGGGTTCAAGCCCCGCGACGGGCTCTGTGCTGACAGCTCAGAGCCTGGAGCCTGCTTCGGATTCTGAGTCTCCTTCTCTCTCTGCCCCTTCCCAGCTCGCACTCTATTTCTCTCAAAAATAAAAAAAATCTTTTTAAAAACCGGATAATGCTGCTATAAACATTCCTGTACAAGGTTTTGTGTTGACAGGTCTTAATATACCTAAGAGTGGCATTGCTGGGACTTATGGTAATTCCCACACTGAGATGAGTTTTTAAAGCAAGAACGGTGTCTGGGGCCAGACCCCAAGTAGGCTTTCAGCCCAGGTTTTCTGCGTGCTGAAAGGGAGACAAACTGCTGGAGGGAGAGGCAGAGGCTTTTTAGACGGGAGACCGACCAGGGGCCCAGCTCAGGGGAAGACACTGGCTTTTGTACTGTGTTCCAGAAACTTCAGGGGGCCAGCATCTTGGGGAAGCAGGGCTGATGGTGGCCTGGGAAACCTTGCAGGAAAGACTAGGTTTCATGCAACGGGCAGGAGGGAGTCAGAGCTGGGTCTTGGGCAGGGCAGGACTTGTAGGTATTTGGGGAAAATGATAGGTAGAGAAGGAGGCAGTAAATAGGGTAGAGGGGAAGAGCCCAAGCCTTCAATTAGGAGGGTGCATGCAGGGCAGAGGCCAAGGTGAGGCTGGGAGAAGGCTGGGGAAGGTCTGAAAGCCATTTATCTACCCTGATGCCTTTGAGATAAAGGGGTCTCCCAAACTGCCCAGGGTGGTTAGACAGGTCCCCAAGAAACCAAGAAAACAAAAACCCTAGCCTTTGATCTAAATACCCCTTTCCCTTTCCTGTCTGACAAAGCACATACCTATACACCCTGCCAACCAGGTGGCTTTGCAGTTTTCTCTTCTCTGAATGGTTCCCTGCTCTCGATACGCAAGATATTTCTAAGGAAGGTCTAGTCCAGATTCTTCTGACTCTAATTGTACCCGTCTCCCTCTTGGCCTGCACATGGTAGCTTCCCTCAAGATCTGTCTGTGCTAGAAGCTGGGGGTGAGGCCGGGGGCGGGAGGGGGGGTCGGTAACTGATCCTGAGCAGAGAGCTCCTGTGCTGTCCTGTCCGGTCCCGCTCTAACGCCCGAGGCTGTCCACACGCAGACCCTCCAATGCATGCCCCCACGGAGGCATCCAGAAACCCTCTTCAGCCCTGGTCCTCAGTCTGGGCCCAGCAGCAGGCAGGACTGGGGCTGTCCCGAGCCCCTCGCCTCTCCCGTGTGTCTGTCTGTACCGGCTGGCTCTTGCCATTTGTTAAACCAACCCCCATCCCCCTCACAAGTACCAGCCTGGCCACACTGCACTCGCGGGTAATCACATAAGCTGAAAAGCACTTGGTGTGGGGGTGGGGGGGTATTAGCATTTGAATTTGTGGTCAGGCCCCAAGCAATCAAGCTTTAGTGGCCGCTTTTAGGGCTACTGGCGGGGTTCTGTCTGTTTCGAGAAATGGGGGACTGTGATGAGTCGTCCGGACCTAGCTAGGTTGTCACTTTCCTTTATACACAGGCCACCCCTGTGACAAATCCTGCATTCCTCCCGAAGTCCACTTCACTCCTAGCCAAAGGAAAGGGTTCTTTATGACATTTTGTTTGGGGGCTGGGAGGACTGAGGTCCAGGACTTAAATGTGAGCCTGAACTGATAGGACTCAGGCCCTCCACCTGACCCCTCAGATCCCTCCTTTCCAGAGGCGTCAGCTCAGGAATACTCAGCCCCATGCCTTTGCCTGGTGAGGACAGGGTATAACTTGTACCCTACGCAGTTCGAGAGGACTACTCAGAAAGCAAGAGCCATTTCCTGGGTATCTGGTTCCAGAGACAAATGCCTGGGTTCAAAACCTGACTCAATAGCTGTATGATGTGACCTGGGGCAAGTTTCTTTTTTTTTTTTTTTTTTTTTAATTTTTTAAAATGTTTATTTATTTATTTTGACAGAGAGAGGAGGAGAGGAGGGGCAGAGAGAGAGGGAGACAGAATCCTAAGCAGTCTCTGCACAGTCAGCACGGAGCCCGATGTGGGGCTCAAGTCCATGAACCGGAGCGATCATGACCTGAGCCGAAATCCGCAATCCGGAGTGGGACGCTCAACCGACTGAGCCACCCAGGGGCCCTCGGGGCAAGTTTCTTAACCTCTCTGTGCCTCAGCTTCCTTAGGCACAAAATAGAAACAACAGTACTACTCTGTAGGGTTGTCGTGAAGTTTATATGAGTTGCTACGAACCGTGAGGGGCTAAGAACAGTGCCTGGCATTGAGAAAGAGCTCTCCGAAGTTAGTTTTATTATTAGCATTATTTTTCTTCTCTGTGAGCCGGTTTCCTGCCCCACGACCCTTTCCACTGCCTGCTCAGAGCTCCTTGTTGAGTAAGGAGCCCCGAGGGAGGTGCACAGCAAGCAAGGAAGAGATGGCCCCTTTGGGTGTGTGTCTGTTTCTGTTGTTGCTTTCACCGAACCTGGCCCGCCAACCTGCCCTTTCAAATTACTCCCATTCCCCTTCCTGTTCTTTGCGCTACACATGTTCCTAAAAAGTGCCAGGTAAGGGAGCTTTTGTAAGGCAAAACACGCTTTTAAAGGAAGGAGAGAAAACAGAAAAACACCCTGATAGATTTCTAATTAAACCTCTAGGCAGAATCAAGAAGCGTCCTGAGCTTTCTCTTAAGATTTGCGGAATCCCCCATGCATCCAACCTTGCACAAAGCCCAAAGAAAAACCAGTGTCCACGAGACTTGCCTCTCAAGAGAATTCTTCCCTTTACAAAAGAATTTGATAATGGGGATAATCACTCCCTAATTGGGAATGTTTTGTCAGTTGGGCGTCCTAAAGTGGGATCTGTCTGTATGATGCCTGTGTTCTCTCCATCAGCTCAGGGATACCTCTAGGAGCGAGCCCAGGGTGAGAGCACCTGGCTGGGCATGCCCCCCACCCCCGTTTCTCTGGGATAGCCCAACCGGGGTTTTGTTCCTGGGCCTTCCGCTCGCTTGAGTCCATGCAGCCCAGAAAACCACCCAGCCAGGAACCAGAACCGGGGAAATCTCCGGCAGCCTCCAGTTTGCAAGCCATCTATCTCCTGCTTTGGGGTCTGTTTTCCCAGCTGCTCTAGGCGAGCAATCCTGCTGCCTTTCCGGAGGGCTCCGCGGGGGCGGCCCTGTCCAACGTAAGCCCGGGGGAGAAGGAGGCTTTGCGATGGTATCCAAAGGGGGCATCTTTCGCGGCCATGGCAGGCCGAGTCCCGAGCAGAGGCCAAGGAAGAGTAACATGGCGTGGGAGAAGTGGAGGGGAACCCTGGCCCCAGAGTTGGAGGGTCAACTTACCCGAGCTGTGCGTGGGACAGCCCACCCCTCCCCTACGTGGCCCTAGTAATTTGGTGCTGAGCGTCTCCCAGGCAGAAGGGCTTGGCCTCCGGAGGCCGATGCAGGAACCCTGACTCCCTCTGAAGCAGGGACACACAGGACCCAGCAGCCCCGCAGCCCCGGGGGGGGGGGGGGGGGGAAGGGACAGCGTGTGTCAGCTGAACCGGAGCTGATGGTCTGAGTGGAGCCCGCCCCAGGGCTCTCTGTCAAGCCGCAGCCAGCCCTGGCCCCTGGCACGGCCCCCGAGGTGACACTCCCACTCTCCTTCCACCTCACTTCCAATTCCTCCCCCCGGCAGCAGGGGCTACTGACAAACCTGAGACCCGCGGTGCGGGAGGGAGACGCCGTCCCACCGCCCCCGGTTCCATCACCCCTGGGCCCGTGGCGCGTGGGTGGGGGAGCGGGTGAGGGCCGGGTTTAACCCCCTGGCGGGGGTGAGAGAAGGCAAATAAATAATCCAGAAGTCACCCTCAGTCTCTGGAGAGACTTTTCCGGGGAGAGCCGGGGTGGGGGAGGGAGGCAGTCCAGCTAAGGCGGGGCGCGGCTGGCGGCGCTGGGAGAGGTGGTCGCCGCCCGCCAGAAGGCGAGGGCGCCCCGCGGCCCCAGCCCCGCGGGGGCAGGGACGCGGGCGGCGGGAAGGGAAGGGATGCAAGGGAAGGAGAGGAAGGAAGGGAAAGGAAGGGAAGGGAAGGGTCGGCGCGGCCGTGCGGAGGAGCGGCGGGGGCTGGGGGCTGGGGGCTGCGAGGCTCCCGCGCGGGCCCGGCACTCACGTCCTCTTGAAGACGCCCCCGAGGGCGCTGCCCAGCAGGAGGCAGAGCTGCTGCGAGAAGAAGACCCAGGAGATCTGGGGCAGCGAGCTGTGCGTCTGGCAGCGCAGGTCCAGCAGCGTGGGCCCCAGGAAGGCGATGCACAGGCCGAAGCTGAAGAAGACGCTCCAGTAGGTGAGCGTGGGCTGCAGGTTGCGGCGGAGCAGCCCCGACACGCGGCCGTCGCAGCCCATGGCCCCGGCTGGCGGGCTCGGCGGCTGCTGGCTCCGCGCGCCGGTGCCCGAGTGCC